TTGACAAGAAGATTCATTTAGAATTTATTGAAATAATTTGCAGAGGTAATTATAATACAGTAAGCCTGTTTTTGATTTCTGTATTTAGTTATGTTTGATATCGATATTTATTTTCTATTTAATCGTCAAATAGCATGGAAGCACATACCAAATGAGCGAATATCGATTACTGATTTATATAAAAAGCTTGAAGAGTTGACTGTAATTTATCCAATTTCTAATGACATGCCTTTGAACCAAAAAACATCAAACGTTGATAAAATGGATACTGAAGGAACCATGAATCCAGAATTGTCAGAATTTGAACGCTCACCTGAAAAAAGCTCATTATATATTCCTCTTGAAGAAGGAATCAAATTTCATCAAAATAAAGATTACAAAAGAGCGTGGCAATGCTTTGTTGCAAATGCTGATCTTGGAAATCTAAAAGCAAAATATTGGCAAGGTTATTATTTATATCATGAGGGGTATGGTGTAAAGCAAGATATTGAAAAAGCAAAACAACTTTATAAGGAAGCTGCTAATGGAGATCATCGTGATGCACAGTATCGATATGCGGCTTTATTGCTTTCTGATTTAAAAAAAGAAGAAACTAATAAAGAGGAATATTGTAAAGAAATCCGACATTATTTCAAATTAGCAGCTAAGAATGGACACATGGATGCAAATTATTATATGGGTGAAATTTATATAAGAGGAAAACTTCAAGTCCGACAAAATCAAGAACTTGGTTTAAATTATTTAAAATTAGCAGTTAAAAATGATCATCCAAAAGCAATTAATTTATTGAAGGAATTAGGTAGGTTTATATTCAGTTTAGTTGTAATTTGAATAATTCTATATTCTTTAACTGATATTATATTTTAATTTGAACTCGAAACTTCTACGTAACCAGAGGATCCTATGGATGTCGAGGTACATTTTTCTTAACTAATTTATTTTTACTTTATATTAACAACAATAATTGTTAGATGAACTAGACAAATTTTTGCAAGTAAACAGAACTATCCAAATACTGATTACAGCTATTTATAACTTATTATGATAGTGTATTTAATTTAAAGCTTTTGATAAATGTATATATATATATTTTTTTTAAAAAAAAATACAAAATATTATTAATAATTGTCGCGGCTGCTGAAATTGTGAAATTGGCTGACGCTGAAATTTGGGGTCTCGATTTGAAAATATAAGCCCTGTTAAAATCCATATATACATTTTAATTATAAGTTCCAGTCCAAAATCATGACTCGACCCTAAAAAAAAACGGCAAAAACCATTTAAAAAATTTCATATCAGAATCGGTCCAAATTTCAGAATCAGTCAATTCAGCAACAGTCGCAACAATAATTTATTGCACAATTTAATTTATAATTACTAAAATTTAACAAATTTTAAAATTGAACTTACTATAGGTTTTTTCTACCAAATTCGTATCTCAAGCAAACTAGATTTTGATCTATTATTGATATCTTGCGACCTAGTGATTAGATTTTGATCATTTTGGCACTATTTGAATAATTTTAGCAAGATGATTTGAGTGGGATCATCAAGATTTATTCACTAGATCACAAGATATCAATAATGAATTTGATTGAGATACGAATTTGGTAGAAAACACCTATACAATAAGTTCACTTTATATGTATATTATATTATACTATTAAAATATCTAAATACAGTATCTAGTAAAATTCTGGCTTTTCTCAGTGATGCCAATGTATCAAATATAAAGCATAAAAAACAAATATAACAAATAAATAATTAAAGTAACTCTATAAAAAATTTTTGAAAACGTATCTAGGCTTTCTCCAGACTATTGTAACCATCATATAACTCCGATGGTTGACGTATGAAAAGATTCGGAACTTTATGAAAAATAAGAAAACTCGTATTTTATGACTATTAAACATTTATTATAGAAAAGAATGTATTATTTATGTATTCTTTATTTAGGGTGGTTCAGAGATACATTAGATAATGAACTAAAGGCAAGAACAACCCTTATATACATTCTATATTTTAGATACATTTACATACCAACGGCTACACTTACACTCCAATGGCTACGTTTACACTACACTGTCACGTTTATGCACATCCACAACCATATGTTAAGCCACATAATAATGCCTAATACTATAAAGGCAAGATTAAAATGGATATGGCAATACAATTATGTAAGTTCTGTGACAGCTTAATGAATTAGACAAATACTAAAGTGAGAGACACAGGTCGGTACACTATCGTTCCATTATCATTCCGGAAAATGCTCATTTTTCGGAACAAAACATATATAAATTCCTGGTCATGTACATAGAATCCTAATAAATTCCGGTAAACATCAACTCCGATAAGATTCGGGTTTTAATTATAACGAAGTACAAATGATTAGAAGCCGATTCTTATCGGATTTAATTTCTACCCGAAAATTACCGGTTCTATGGAAATGACCAGGAATTTGTATATGTTTTGTTCCGAAAAATGATGCATTTTCTGGAGCGATAATGGAACTATAATCAGGAAAAGTAAGATTTGACTCAAAGATCCAGACAGAAGAGTTTGAAATCGGAGATAAAGTATGGACACAACGAAAGGATATTGAAGCATCACAATCTGCAAAATTTGAAGAGAAACGAATTGGACCCTTTATCATCCAAGCTAAACTAAATAACGGAGCTTACAAGTTTTTCGAAAAATTTTCATAGAGTAAATGTAAACAAAGTCAATTAGTTTTGTTTAATTAAGCAAATTTTACGATGTTTAGCTAGTTCTTCTCAAGAAGAAATTTTTTGAAGCAATTAGACATAAGTTCAAAATGAATGGTACGTTTTGTTTCTATTAAGACCATTAAGTGATTTGCCCAACATTTGCAAGAGATTTAGTAGTCATTAGTTTTGGTCCTTTCGCCAGGTTTTGAAAGTTTCAGAGATTTCACCAGGTATCGGAAGTTTCGGAGTTTAAGATTCAGAGGTTTCGGAAGTTTCGGATTTTGGATTCTGGCAAACTGGCCTTCGAAATTTTCGTCTTGCCGAAAGTCTCGGTTTAGTCTAAAATACTACCATCGTATATATCTTCCACGTCACGATTATATAAAAATATAAAAGAAAACAACTTGATAATATGTAAATGAACGATATCAATATAGCAGTTAGGTATTTTACGCGATATAGAAATGATCTGCAATATACTAAAAGATTATTCTAAACCCGATTTCTATTTAAAAAAAAAAGCATTCCTACTTTAGAATCTAAAAATAACAATCAGTTTTAAAAAAACCTTTAAAATTTGCTTGCAAAAGCTATTCTATGAATATGTGTCTAGGAATCCATGGGGCTTTAAAAGCGGTTGTGTGCCAAATAATAACACAGCCAATGATTGGTAATAGAATTAAAAAAGAATTTTGCATGTCGAAAATGTGACAGATTTGTGGCGCAGCAAACACCTTTAAAGTTCGTTAATGTTAGGGTTAGAGTTTAGGGGTTAGGTAATTATATAGTAAATTCGCTCTAGAAAAACTTTTTGTTAAAGCATTAAAGCTGGTTTCTTATGCAGATTTTCGAGAAATAAGCGATTTTAGACTAAACGAACGTTTGTTCCTGATCGTGTTACGTTACACCTGATCTTGAAATCTGATTCGTAGTTTAGGAAACATTTATTTGATTGGCATAACTTAAAATTCGTATAAATGTTTGTGTAACAAAATAAATTTAGTAGCAAAATTTGATGATCATAAGTTCGCGTAACTCAAAACTATGAATATTGAGTTTTGTTACAAATGCGTATTGTTCTTGTGTAACAATTACATACTTTCGGAGGTTATTGTACGTACGTACGTACGTATTTACATAGCAGATAAATAACAAAAAAACCATTATAAAAACTTTGCTCGTTATCGAATTAAAATTTTTAAAAAAATTGGTTTAAAAATATAATTATGTCAGCGAAAAAAGAGAACATGAGTAACTACATTTACAAATGTAATTCCGTAGTCATAGGTTATAGTCATGTATATTAATATTTGTGAATTTACACTATAGCACCAGAATTTGTTGAAAAATTGGAAAAATATCTACAAAAATTCTTTATAAAAAGCTTCGATTACTCGCAATTTGGAAATCCCAAACGTATTGGCCAGGGAGGTTTTGCAGTTGTTTATTCGGCAACTTTTGATGGACAGATTTATGCATTAAAAAGTTTTAATATGAATTTGAAATTCGAAGAGAAAGAGTTCAGGCAATTTAGACGTGAGGTAATGTGCTTAATTATTTATTCAATATTAGAACCTGAACTCTCACTATCCTACTATTGCACATAGATTAAATGCCTTTACACGATCGTTGGTCATCCAAATATTATTAAATTTCATGGAATCTCTAGAGGTAAGGGTTCACAATTAGCCATGTGTTACCAATATACTATATAAGTTTCCTTCTTTTTACGTGACTTGCGGAGAAAACCAGATTTGATCTGTATAATATTGGTAAAGTTCAAATAATCACACTGAAAATGGTTGAATAGCACCAAAATATACTTTATAAAAGGGTTAATTATTACAATATTCGGTAGTTCACGATATATGCATATTAAGATATTTGGTAGGGGACCTATTATGTTACAATGAACAAAATTTGATTTTGCTAGTGTTTTAGTAATTACATTTTATTTAATTTACGGTAAAACAATCAAAGTTTAAATTGCCTCAAGTATGGATTTGGTTATTATAAAACTGAGTAATCTTGCAAAATCTAAATTATTAAGCCCAACCTAACGCATTTGTAAGATTTCTCCAATGAAAATCCCAATACAAGCTCGTAATAATCTTAACTTATACTATATTTCAAACAAAATTTTAGACTTTACAACGGGTAATTTCATGATGGTGTTACAGTATGCTAATGGTGGTAATCTTCGAGAACATTTGCTTAGCAAACAAAAAGACGGTATTTATAAAATTCTATGGGCCGATCTTATCCGAATTGCAAAATCAATTACAAGTGGATTAATCCATCTGCACGATAAAGATATAGTTCACCGAGATCTAGTAAAGTCTATTTTTTTTAAATGCTCTAACTTAATCCTCAATTTAAATTGATAATATTTTTAAAATCTTGTACATAGCATTCTATGAATATTTTAATAGATAATGATAATGTCCTGATCACTGATTTTGGAATATCAAAGCAATTAAATGTTGCTACTACTGGTGCTCCTTCAACCCCAGGTGCAAAGGGCATATCAGCATACATAGAACCACAATGTTTCATTAATTTCGAAGATAAAGTAGTTGAAATCAACAAAAAATCTGATATTTATAGTTTAGGCGTACTATTCTGGGAGCTCACAAGTGGAATCCCTCCATTTAAAAATTATCGCAATGAAGCTATTGGCATAAAAATTGCACAAGGTCACAGAGAAAAAATCATTGATAATACACCTCCAAGTTATGCTGATCTTTTCGAAAGATGTTGGTCTGCTGAACCAAACCAGCGCCCACCTTTAAACCAAGTTTTAGTTGAACTTAATAAACTATCAACAGAAACTACTGTAGAATTTATTATAAATCACATTAATAGTGGTAATAAAAGTATTCCTACAAAGACTAATTTTTTGCCAGACTCAGTTTCTTCCGATTCTTTCACCAGCAACAGCACTAAACCTGAATATTACTCGAATAATATTTCGGCACCATCAATCGAATTGACTGAAGAGATAACCCCGGAAATTAAAACTTTTGATTACAAAGA